CTCAGATTCTCCAGCATCTGCAGCTCCTACTATCTCTGATTCCTTAGAAAGCAGGGTTGTCCTGTGAAGATACTGACATATACTCTAGAGTCTGGAAAATTGAGTGGCAATCTCATTGAAAAATACAGAATTCTTTGAGTGCTTATTAAGAGTACATGCAGGAACGATGTTTTCCTTGATGCTAAGCCTAGAAACAGGGGGCACAGTCTTCAAGTAAGGGGCAGGTCATTTTGGACTTATTTTTTTAAAAAGGAATTTGCTCCCAAAGACTGCTGTAGAGGCATAGCCATTGACTACATTCAAGACAGAGATTGATAGATCTCTAGATATTCAAGTGTGGGAAAGTGGGATTGAGCTAGACGATCAGCCATGATTTAGACACTGGCAGAGTAGGATCAAGAGGCTAAATGTCCTAATGTCACTAGGGCCTATCACCCCTATACACTTGGGTATAGGTGCTCCAATTGATAGATGCATTACTAGGGTTAATTTTAGACTTCAAAATGGTGGCTTTTTGTGAGCTGAAGGAACTAAGTGATACCGCACACAGGCGGATTTATAGAGTTACTTCTCAGAGCAATCACATTTACTGATTTGAGGTGCTAAATGGCCTCCATATCTCATATTGCTCTGCATTGGAGAAAAAGAGACTGAACTTAAGCAGTGACTTATTGGAAAGTGAGTCTAATACGGGATTTTATGGGATATACAGGAATGTCAGAGCTATGTTCAAAATGGATCCTGTGTAGGCCTAAAAAAAGTAATCACCTGGGCAAATGAGATAACTGGAGAAATATATTGTAAGTCAAGAAAGAAAACTCAGATTTAAAAGCCAATAATGGAACTAGATTTTGTTGCATCTTTCAGTTCCGTGCAGAATTTGTAATTTTTCATCTTAGCTAATAGGAAAGAGAATTATTTGCTTTTAATTCCACTGTGTTCGAATTACCCTTTAAATTCAACAAGCAGTTGCCAATGAGAAAACATCACTGCAGACTTGTTGCCAGAAAAAGTTTACTCCTTCTAATTTACTTTAAAATTACATGTTTAACATTTTTAAAAGGTAATTCCTACTCATTACCCTCCCAAAATAGTTGCTTCTCTCAATTTAGCCTGAAAACTGAATTGCCAGAAGCAAAGCATGAAGACAGTACTGTGCAATATTCAGTGTCACTGCATCACCAGAGAAGATACAGTGCCTCTGAAGAGACCTGGGGCTAGATTTTCATCTGGGACAAATAACATGAGTCAGGACAATTCCCAACTTGGCTTCCTGACCTTGGAGGAAGCGTCTGCAAAGGTGGGATTTTGAAGAGGGCAGTTTAAAATGGTCATCTCAGTGCTGAGGGACTTTATCCTGGTTGTAACAAAAACAGTAAGGCCACTCAAGCCCTCATCCCTCATGCCCTCCACATTCCATCCATGCCACCTCATGCCAGTCTAACAATCCCCATAACCCGTTATACCCTCCATGCCAAGATACGGCATTTCAGTGCTGATTCCACCACCTGTATAGGAGAAATGAACTCTATATTGACAATATGTGGGAGAAAAGCTTTTTTAAAAAATATTCCTTCATAACTTTCCACACTCAAAAGAAAACACTTTTCACTACAAGGCAATAAAAGGGTCAATTATCCAGTCTTGAATAAAGCATCAAAGCAAACACCACAAGTATTTGAATCCTATATCTTGTGTAAATAAATACTGTGCGACTGACAGAAGAGATCAGAGCTATAGCCAACCGAATATGTTTTGGGGGCATGGAGATGTTTCAATAGTTTAAGTGGAAGTCTGAGCGCTCAGCCAATAATGCATAACGAGATCGGGATAGCTCAGCATGGCGGAGACCTTTTTGAACTTTATATTTAAAAGGCTTCTCATGCCTCATGACAGTTCTGAGGTGAACCTTATACCCTTGAAAAGCTAGCCCAACTCCATGAACATGCTGGAAAACAAAGACGATCGCTGCACTGGAGCCAACCAGGTTTCAATTGCAGGGTGCGGGCTCCATGACTCCATGAAAGTGCAGCCCTCGTGTCAGTAAAGGATCATTCTGTATCTTAAATATGATTAGGCGAAAGACATTTAACTTAAATACAACAGCCTGGAGATTCTTCAAAGCTGCTCCTGTTCCTCTGCTCTAACTTTTCCAGAAGTATGATTATATGTGTAACTAGGCATCACTGGCTGTGCTGGCATTCACTGCCCATCAGTAATTGCCCTCAAGATGGCATGGGTGAGCAGCCTTCTTGAACCACCGGAGTGCTTGGGGTGCAGAATTCCACAGTGCTGTTAGTGTGAAGTTGGGAAATTTCTCAACTCCTGCTAACATGCCTCAAAGATGGGAATCCAGCCTCAGGTCTCTTCAGAGGCACTGCATCACTGTTGGTCATGTAGTAGCACTGACTTCTTGCTTTGCTTTGGCTGTTAGGGGGTAAGTTTCAGGATTTTCACCCAACAATAATGGAATAGCAATTCCATTCCAAATCGGATGGCTTGTGGCTTGGAGGGAAATTTGCACGTGGTGGCGCTCCCATGTAACTGCTGCCCTTGTCTTTTTCAATGGTACTGAAGTAGTCTATATCTGTGAGGTCAGGCTTGGACTGATAAGTGCCTAGTAGCTTTTATGACACACAAGTGGCAGGTAATGACCATCTTCAACAAGAGAATCTAAGCATTGCCCCTTAACATTGAATGGTGTTGCCATCACCGAATCCCCCACTAACAACAACCTTGGAAGTTATCATTGATCAGAAATAGAACTGGACCAGCCATATAAATACAATGGCTCCAACAGCAAGGCAGACAAAAGGAATCTTGGGGTGAGGAACTCACTACCTGCCTCCACAAATGATTGCTCACCTGTTACAAGGCACAAGTCAGGAGTATGATAGAATACTCTCCACTTGCCTGGATGAATACAGCTTCAAAAATACTCAAAACTGGATACCATCCAGGACAAAGCAACTTGCTTGGTTGAAACCATATGCATCACCTTCAGTATTCATTTCCTTCACCATAGGCACTATACCATCACAGTACTGTGTACCATCTATGATGCACACTGCAGTAATTCACTAAGGCTCCTTATACAGCACCTTTCAAAGCTGTAACCCTACGTTTAGCATAGCCAATCCATCTAACCTACATATCTTTGGATTGTGGGAAGAAATCGGAGCATCCCATGGACAGAATGTACAAACTCCACACAGACAATCGCCGGAGGGTGGAATTGAACCCAGGTCTCTGGCGATGTGAGTGCTAACCGCTGAGCTTCCGTGCCGTCCCTGTATCTTCAGCATCCAATTTCCAAAATATTCTCAGTTTAAACAGCTACTTTAGTATTGCTTCATGTATCTCAATTAATATTTTGGAATTTTCTAATATACTGGATAATTTTTATCCACTGCCTCAACTGATTTGTGATAGTGTGTGTTTCACTGTCCATTTTCCCTGTAAAATGTCTGAACATTTACCACGAAGAATTAAAATTATTTGGCTCTAAAGACTTGGCCAAAATCAGGAAACTGTTAGGTGAGGTTTCAGTTTACTCTTCCTGTGCAAGTCCAAGTTAAAATACAGGGCATACTTACTTTCTTTGATTGTCAGTCAGAGTAATGCCTTGGGCAGATACTTTAAAATGTACAACAGTGGAGGCTAGAGAAGGTGTCTGCCCCAATGTTTCTGATGTTGCTTTTTCGATTGCATAACGGCCTGTCAGAGACTCCATATCCACAGAATTTAAATACCACACATTACAGGCTGAAACAAAAAAACATGAGGAAAACCTTTCAAATTACACTTCTCGGATCACGATCATTTCTCATAGACTATTTTGTAACTAACTAAAGTTTTTTTGCTCGCAAATATTCATCTATTTCTACTAATTATTTTAATGTTTGCAATTATTATGGCGTATTCAGTGACAACCACAGAGCAAACTTCCAGTCATCATTACAACAGACAAAGTGTACTAAGCGTTTGACAATGTTACTAGAATATACAATGGGTGGAATCTTATAGAAACCTGAATGACATGGGTTATGGCAGGAGAACTGTGAGAGAAGTCAGGAAAGCTTTTCTCTGCGTCAGGAGCAACTCGGTGCATTTTCAAACAGAGTTCCAGGTGTCGAGACAAGATTGTCACGAGGTACAGGAGGTGATGGGGTGGTGGCAGGGCAAGAGTTATGCTCAAACAGAGCACAGTCCTGCTCAATAGGGACTGGGGGTGGATTTGGCAATGGGCAACTGTGCACAAGCGGTTTGGGTAAGGACCTGATGAGATGCAAAGCCAGTGGAGTTAATGCAGAGCTTCAGGAAGGGGATTTGGATGTTCTGGTCCTCACCAATATGTAAAGATGGAGCATGGATATTACTGTCTGAGGAGCACTCGCTGACATTTTCTATGATTCTGGAAACTGCAGCTGCACAGTGGGTAGGGTACATGCCTCTACTTGTGTGGAAACCAAGGGGAGGCCCTTCAAAGGGTAACAACACTACACAGAGACCCAGTCACTGTCGAGGATACACAGCAGAAGGCTCCCAGTCCCTGGAGACCATTACCCAGCTGTCTCACTGTGCGCTATGCACCACACAGCATCAAACTTTGGTGACCATTTCATCCAAGACCGTCTCCTTTGGCCACTGAGGTCTGTGATGCCAAACTAACACAAGCAATATTTCCAGAGTCCCTTCAAAACGCACTGTTTACATTGGCCACATTCGGTGCAGCAGCCTCTCAAGCTCGGCATTGCTCCATGGAACATCATGCATGTGAACGGAAGTGGGACCTCACAGTGCAAAGGTCACAATAGGGGGTGACACAGACATGGGCTAACAGATGTAGAGATAGTAGGAACTGCAGATGCTGGAGAATCTGAGACAACAAGGTGCAGGGCCTGCTGTGTTCATCCAGCCCTGCACCTTGTTGTCTCGGCTAACAGATGTAGTTGCATTGTGAGCATATTTGAACAAATATCAGACTTTATTTACAGTGAAATGTCACCTGTGACATCAATGTGCCCTCAATGTGTTTTTTTCTTTCCCTCCCACAACATCCATGCACAGTCTCAGATTCTGTAGTTGGAGGGAGCCTGCCATACACAGGAGCCCATGGCCTTGGATATATGGTCAGGGTATTGTGTACAGAGGGCCCAGACACACTGAGTGTGCCCCCACATCTGACATCTTTCTGAATTAGTCTGGTGCCGATCAGGGCAGCTTCAGAACACCAGTGTTAGTGCAGGAGCACAGTCTTTCAACTATGGACGCAGTTACCAGGGGCGATGATTTATCTCGGGATAAGCAGTTCTTCCCAGTACGATGAGTGGTAAAAGTATGTGAGCATCAGGCAAGAGGGGCACCAAAAGGCCAGGGTAGGTAGTTAATTTGGAAGATTTGGGCAACATGGCAAGAAATCTCACTGAGCCACGCATAGAGAAACCCTCCGTGGAGCTCGACAAATGTTACACTGAGCCAACATACAAGATTCAGCCAAATATCTTATAAGCTTGCTAAAAGGTCTGAAACAGGTGAACTATGATTTTACAAGGCAGGTTATTAGACAATTATAAATGTGTCAGCCACAGGAGACCTGCCACAGCAGTACTACAGTATGTTTACCTGCTCCTTGCTTCAACAATTCTGCAGCAGAGTTTGTGGCAGCCTGTGTGGAAGCAGCTATTCCATCTTCTAAAGGATCTATTAAATAAAAATGTAAAAACATATTCAAATCTCCAGTTCTGATCTCTTACTTGAGTAAGCTGTTCAGCACTAATGAATTAACTGAGAGCTTTAGAAAATAAAGCTAACTATAATCCCAGGCAAAGGCCTTCAGATTCAGGAGATGAGCATTTTAGAGAAACAACTCAGAGAGCCTCATTATTAATAATCAGAAAACAAAGCACGGTGGCTCAGTGGTTAGCACTGCTGCCTCACAGCGCCAGGGACCCAGGTTCGATTCCACCCTCGGGTGACTGTGCAAACTCCACACAGACGTTCTCCCCGTATCTGCGAGGGTTTCCTCCGGGTGCTGCGGTTTCCTACCACGGTCCAAAAATGTGCGGGCTAGGTGGATTGGTCATGAAAAATTGCCCATAGTGTTGAGGGACGTGTAGATTAGGTGAGTCCCAGGGGGATGGGTCTGGGTGGGATGCTGCAAGAGTCGGTGTGGACTTGTTGGGCCAAAAGGCCTGTTTCCACACTGTAGGGATTCTATGATAAATAAACTACCATTAAAAAAAAGGATGACTAATTTTGTAATGTCCTGAAAATCTGCTTGAACCGCAAAGGAAGCTGCCAAAATGGGGGTATTATTTAGTAATGGTTTCTGGCAGACTTGACAGAGCTATAAGAGGCAGAGGAAAGAATCCAGCCACTGGAAAGGACAGACAGTATATCATTATCATTTCATCACCACAATTAAGACACTGGGCTGCAGAATTTAGAAAGTACTAAAAATAAATTGCGCCTTTGTGTAGCATTAGCAATAGTCTCGTTCTTTTGGATAACATAGCACTAAAACACAGTATAACGGAAATGCGCTATTCCAATTTTTGATTGGGACTGGCTGCACTAATGTAGTCACTGTTGGAATGCATATTTAGAAGCACATGACGGTGTTGTTATGGGCCACACTCTTTGCTATCCCTTATGAAACACCATCTTTACATCAGGGTTGGGTGAGTAATTAACAATAGTCCACAGGGAACTATTAGAAAGAGACATTTGGTTATACAATTTGAGCACTCCAGATCAAATGTGTGACAAGCTGAAGAGGCAGGCTGCCTTGAATTACCATAACAGGGATAAAATTCATGCTGCTGACATTATTCTGCACCGCACTCTAGCAGTGAGGCAACTAAGCTAACCGAGCCCTAGACAGCCTTCTAAACAATTCAAGAAGTGCTCTGTCACGTCAACTTTAACCTTGGATTTCAATATTTGGCTTTTGCGTTTTTAAGCTTGGCCAAAGCTACTCATAGTTTCTGAGGTGCTTCAGAAGGTTTCTGGGTCTATCAATTCTTCTCTCTACCTATTGTGACACTGCCCTTTAAGTTGTCTTTCTTTTTAAATTTCAAAAGCATGCAATTTGTCACTCCCAGCACTTGTGTATTCCCTGTCAAGATACAAAGCTCTATTTGACTTTGTCTGAGGCTTGACAATTGAGATTCAAGTTTAAATTATGTTATTATGGAAAATCTAACAGGCTAATTTAAACCTTCAAAATGATAACGATTCATTTTACAACAGAAGTAAAAATGAGCTAGCATATTTTGAGCTGCATTCATTTTGAAAAGGAACACTTTGTATATATGATTCTAATTGCATCAGTTTGACAGTATTAATCAGAACAGTTTTTCAACAATGTTCTTCTGCCAACTTATATATTTACCTCTGTCAGGGATGAGTAACTTGCAAGGCAATGCCAGTGGTGTGATGGAATGTTGATAAACCAAGGCAGTCAGACTCCCTGATTAGAAACACAGAAATGCATATTAGATGCATAGGAAGAAATTCAGGTTAAAAACAGCTGGAACATCTTGGCTGTGCTTCTAAAGAGTAAACATAAAAACATACCAAAGTATGGCTCATTGGGGCAACCCTTTAATCGTACTCCTTTCTGGGTACATTCAATCAGGAAATGTCTGACCAGCTCATTTGATAAGTCTCCCAAAGCTGTGTGAAGAATAAAGAAACACAAGTTTACACATCACAGAATTGCTCCAGCACTGAAGGCGGCCATTTGGTCCATCATGTCTGTGCCAGCTCTTGTAACAAGCAATTCAACTGGTACCATTTCCCTGCTTTCTCACTGTAATCCTGCACAATCTTGTTCTTTTCAGAAAATTACGCCCTTGAATGCCTCAGTTAAATGACTCCAAAACACTGTCAGCGCATACTACTTACTGCATGAGAAAACTCATGTCTTCATTGCTTTCTTTTCCGATTACATTAAATCAGCGCTCGCTTGTTCTCAGTTCTTCCATCTGTCTCCATCTTTCCAGACACCCCATGATTTTGAATGCCTCTATCAAATCTCATCTTGACACATTTTATCCAGGAAAAACAGTTTCAGCTTCTTCAATCTGTGTAACTGAAATTCCTCTTCCCTGGACCCATTCTCATGAATTTTTTCCTTCACTCTGTAATGCCTTCAGAGTTTTCCTAAAACGTGTCACCCAGAACAGGACGTAAAACTCCACTAGAGGCCGAACCAATTTTCAATGTAAGTTTAACATAATATCCTTGCTCTTGTACTCTTATGCCCTTATTAATATAGCCTGATGTACTGTATGCTCTATTAACCACACTGACAGGTTTCCCAATGATTTATGTGCACATACACTCAGGGACCTTTGCTTCAGCACCCCTCTAGACCTTTACCCTATTTTGTTTTGTCTCTCCACATTGGTGGTGGTTCAGAGGAGGTTTACTAGATCGATATCTGGAGTGAACGGATTACCTCATGAATACATGTTGGATGGATTGGGTTAGTTTCCACTGAAGTTCAGAAGAACGAGGGGATAACTTGATTCAAGTGCATAAGATCCTAAACGAGTGTTGACAAGGTGGACGTGGAAAAGATGTTTCTTCTCATGGGTCAGTCCAGAACCCGAGGTCACTGTTTTTAAATTAGGAGTTGCACTTTCAGTGCTGAGATGAGGAGAAATGTTCCCAGAGAGTTGTGAGATTTTGGAACACTGTACCTAAGAAGGTTATTGATTTTTTTTTAAAAAGAGAGATGTGGATTCTTGTTAGGAAAGGGAATCAGAGGTCATCAGGATAGATGGGAAAGTGGAATTCAAAACACAAACCAGTGCCATGATCTTACCGAATGGCAGAGCAGGCCGGGGTGGGGGGACTTCTGTTCTTATTCACGATTTTAAAAATGGGCAGCGCAGTCGCTCTGTGGTTAGCACTGCCGCCTCAGTTCCAGGGACCCGCCTCAGTTTCGGTTACACCCTCGGGTGACTGCGTGCAGTCTGCACATTCTCCCAGTGTCTGCGTGGGTTTCCACTGGGTGCGCCGGTTTCCTCCCACAGGCCAAAGACAGGCAGGGTGGTGCACTGTAGTGTCCAGGGGCATGCAGGTTAGGTGGGGGTTAACCATGGTAAGTGTGGGATGACAGGAACAGGTTAGTGGGGCTGAGTCTGGGTGGGATGCTTTTCAGAGGGTTGGTGCAGACTATATGGGCTGAATGGCCTCTTTTTGCACTGTAAGGATTCTATGATTTTCCAACGAAAATCAAACACATCATATTTCTCTGCATTGAGCTTCACCCGTCTGCTGCTCACCAATTCCACCAACTTGTCTCGGTCCTTTTGAAATTCTACACTATCCTTTTCACAATTTACATATCAGTTAGTTGATTGTGCTGAATAATGTCAAATTAAATTCTAGTGTAGAAAAGTACAAAGTGATATGGCTTGAGTAGGAAAATTAAGGAGATATACATTAAGAAGTAGATTTAAAAGGATTAGAGAAACAGAAAGATTTAGGGCTTCAAATACACCAATCTTTAAAAGTGAAAGGACGAGTTGCAAAATAAAACAGTGAGCCCAGGTCGTGTAAATAAGACCACTAATACAAAACTTAAATAGATATGGTAAACCCGAACTAACTTGGCCACAGGTGGAGTGTTGTGTCCCATTTCCAATGCTTTACTTTGGGGACAATGCAAGGACCACCGAGAATGTGCACACTAGGTTGACTGATATTTTTGAGATCCCTCTGTTACGATAAAAGAAATTGCAGCCCTTTTCGCGAGGCTAAATATACTCAAGGATATTGCCATCACATAGAACAAACTATTGAATAGATTTCAAAACAGCTGGCATGGTTCTTATCTCCATTCTCCATGCTTTGCCCTTGTGTGAGCTTTCCCGCCCACTCCTTTCCCAATGCAGCAAAGCTCTTTGCATTGTTTTGTTCCTAGCTCAAATACATTCAGCTGTGCTACTCTTTCCTGCATCATCATTTCTGGAGTTTAGAAGCCCTATATATTGCACCTTGAATGATAGCATCTTTCAGAGCCTTGGGTTTCAGCTTAGCTCACAAATATATGTCATTATCTAATTCTCCTCCATCACCATTTTCACTGACCTCTTGAATGTTCTACTCTTGCTTTGAAATCAAGTCATGGTTAAGCCACAATTTAGGTCCATCCTTTAGATGACTGAAACTATTTCCTTTAGTTTCACTACAGACTCAATATCTTTGATCCTGACCGAATTTACCTCCAAAACCTCTCAGGCTGAAGCAAACAGTTTCTGTCTTATTGTGAGATTTAATCCTGAGCTAATCATTGAATCCCATTCTCTGTCCCACACCAAGATTGTTCCCTTTAACCTCTGCAAAATTCCCACTTCTGTCCCATCATATGACTCCAGCAATGGTTCCCTCACTGCTGTAGCTGTGGAGGTCAAGTCATTGAATGTATTTAAGACAGAGATGGATAGGTTCTTGATTAGTAAGCGGATCAAGTGTTACGGGAAGAAGGCAGGACAACAGGATTGAGACACACACCAGCCTGATCGAATGGTGCAGCAGACTTGATGGGCCGAATGGGCTAATTCTACACTGATGTGTTATGATCTTAGGGCCTTCTATCCTCTTCTCTTCATCATCTCCAATCTTTCATAAAGTTTGCTGTTTGAGTTTTCTACTGTGGAAAATCTCATTTCTCTATTGCACCCATTCAGCAGACTCAACACACCGTTTTAAATTCTTGTTCTTGTTTTAAAACCGTTGCCTTACAATAATCTATATTTACAAGCCTTAAACTCCAAAACCCCTCTTTAAGTATTCATTTCCTTGATTCTAGCTTTTGATTCAGTACCACCTTCTCTTCATCCGACAACTATTGCTAAATTCTTCCATCATATTAGTCTTGTTCTCTGGACTTGCTCCTCAGCCTCTCCATTCCACCTGTGACTTTCTGACTCATTTTTAAACACTTCCTTCACACTTTGCCATTGATTATGTAATGACACCTGCACAGTACCTAAGGCATTTTTCAACATTGAAGGCATGAGTCACATTCCAAGTCGTTGATCAAAGTGTAAAGGAAATACACAGTCTGTATGAAACATGCAATACCTTTCTTGTTTTGCTGTAGCACTGAAGCAGGAGGTGTAGCAACTTTCATTGCCAATCCATAGGCACCTCGGAACGAGTGGCTGTCCCGTACAATGAATGACCCAGGCTCTTTGTCCTTTAGTATTGCAATGGCTGCAGGTAGAATGAGTACTCATTAATAATTAAGCTTAGAGAAGACTCCGAATAGGAATTATTTCCAAAGACCATAAGAAAATATTCTTATTAGAATTGTTTAGATCACTGAAGAAATCTATACATTGTTTCGTATTTAACTTCACATGCATGTTAATACTGAACTCACCCTGTCCCTAGTTTCTTTTAGCCCACATTGAGATATACAGAGTAACTGAGAGGCACAAAATATTAACGATCGACAGAGTATGTGGCTTCGATCCTAGTTTTAATACTGAAATGCATCTATCACTGATGGTGACAATGCTCAGGTTTTAGGGAATCTGGTTGATGCCATCTGATAAGAAGACTAATAGCAGGCATTCAAACTGTTTTTCCAGCCCATAAAATGAAACTTTTAGAAAAAAGATCTGAAAGGTGGATAGAGCTTGATTTTTACACAATCTAAGTAATTCAAGTTTTTAAATCTCTCAGCATTCAGAGTATTTATAAATGTTTGTGTAATAAATCTCATCTTCTCTTGGCAACGTTATGAAAAATTAAACTAAAGAATTTATAATTAAAGAAGTTGATTTCCTGCTGCCTATCAGAAGAGAAATGATTTACCAATGTATAATTTAAGCGTTATAGGATTAGCACAGCAATAACGCACAATACATTGCTTATTAATTGCTGCTGAGTCAGAGTTCATTTAATCTTGTCTGCTCTTTAGGCCACATATTTATCAGTAAGCAGTCTGAGGTCAATGTCAGAATACAGCTTTGCTGAGACAGGTTTTCAGGTTCACAGTTTGAAACCAGAAGAAATCAACATGGAATTATTATTTTTCTCTGTCATGAATTCCTATGACACATTCCCAGTGACATTACAGAATGTGACAGAAACACAATACATGCACGAATTCCACATACAGAATTAATGAAAAAGATGATTTTACTGGACACATTACAGAGTTAAGTTGTTGGTAATCCATTGAATTTATTTCATTGCCAACATATGGGGCCAATGATACAGTATATATAACATGGTGTCCAGTCTAATAACAGAAGCAGTACTGAGCATACAGCTCCGGGTAAATCAGTGAGTTGAAATCCTCTACAAATTTTTAGACATTGATTGCAGCAATAACACTATGAGAAAACATCTTGTGTCAATTATTTCCAATTTGTCATTTTCGTCAATAATGATTAGGAAAGGAATAGAACGGAGAAAAAGAATCCCTTTCACTTTTCCTTCCAACAGTCCAACAGGATTAGAAATTCTTACTGTGCTAAATTAATAGTTGCACACTCCCATGTCTTGCAAGTTCCCTATTCCAGTTTGCACCGACTCAAAAACAGGAATTAATAATGCTGTATTGGCAAATAAGATTAGGTCACTCAAGATGCTATTTAATCTTTCACTAACTCAGACTTGACCAAAAGACACAAAGTGCCTTTGCCTCACCTTGTTCACGTGATATTTCCGGTTTATACCAAAATTTGGACGTGTCTTGCACAAATTTGACAGTGACATGTTTGTCGGATGAGAAAGCAGTTTCTGTAACTAGAGTGGGGGGAAAAACAAAATCAATATATGGAAGATGTACTTTTCAATTTCGGCTTCAATTTCATATTGAAAAAAGGAACACAGATCATGATTGACAAAACAACCAGATTATGTGAACCCGTTTTGCAACACAATTCATAAAATTACAAAATGTGAATGATGTAAGATCATTGACTCAAAAGATTCTCTCTCCACTGATGTTGCAAGTTTGGCTGAGAGTTTACAGTATTTTCTACCATCAAAAAATCATACTTCATCACCTTTAAAATATTAATCACTTCAAAATGATTTTCTTAGGCCTTTAGCCTTATTCAACTTTGAAAAATAATCACTGATGTGGCACCAACATGCATGCACTTACTTATCATGGTTTCAAAGTCATCATATCATCGAATAAGGAAAAAGTGTTTGATATTGTGAACAGGCATTTTGAGACATATAAACCATTGTTAGCCCTTAATAAGCTGAAACTGACAGACCAGGAGATCATGTTCATTCGCTGGTTTACACTGTCAAGGACAGTAACAGGGCTGTGACAATAAGCCTTATCCCCAGTGGATTAAGAAAGGAGAAACTAAACATGGTTTTCTCTCCTGTCACTGCTCATTGAGAGTGTGTTTGGATTTCCAGCCAGGTTTGTGCTGGACTGAAGATTCTCCTAATGTTTAATTTTAAGAATTCACACGTAAATAACAATCCTGTGGACATGATAATAAAAGTTCCGGGCACCCCCGAACCTATTCCACAACAAGTAATCAATGGTTTCTGGAGTGGAGGGCTGGAAATGGTTAAAAATAACAAAAGGGGTACCACAGAGATTCAAGAATGATATGAGGTCAAACTGGTGCTGCAATATTACTAACACTGACAGTGTTCTCAGGCTGTAACTGCTGAAGTTACAATAACTGAACAGCTGTCCAGTTTTACATTGGAATGGCCTTTCAGTTCAGTGTCAGGCAGCACAAAGCACCCAGCCGTATTTCAAAGTTTCAGTTACTTAGGTTAAACAGATGCAGCACTAATTAAATCCTGTGGTCTAGGCTTTTTTTTAAGATTAACATTGGCCGCAATTTTTTCTGTATTCACCTTGAGCTTACTTCTCCTTTGCCACAATTTTCCCATTGGGGAATTAAATGAACTTGCTAATCTTCAAAATATAGGTACAACATACCACTAAAAAACTGCATTCTGACCTGAAATCACCACTAAGTGTACACAAGAAGCAATTAAAAGTACTGAAGGGTTAGGATTGGTTATTTTAAGTTAGCAGTCAACAACCCAATATTCGACATACAGACAGTTCTGATAAAGGGTTTTGTGTCCACCAGCAACATGAACTTACATATCATTCTACTTATGCTGACTGGTCTGCAATGCATTTTTCAGCTTTTTCTGTTTTAGACATGGGGATTTTTTAAAAATTATAAATTGCATTTGCTTGGAGTGGCCAGAAAGGAAATCCAGGTTCATGTAATCCCCTGTGTTTGGGAATGAAAGTCCTGGTCTATTTTCTCTTCTTTAGGGCCCGGCAACTCCCTAAGTGGAAGGTGAAATTTTGAACTAAAGATTCATGTAATTTGCAGTAACTGAAAACACCTGCTTCCAGAAGACAACCAATGTTAAAAATGTTTTCGAAAACTGTCCAGAGCTGCCCTCATCAGTGGATAAGGAAGTGCATATTTGGTGCCCAATCCTGAATAGAGGAAAGCAACCACAAGGCTTACATGAATCAAATAAACCCACTGTATCACAGCTACAATGACCTGAGCTCCAATAATACAAATTATGAAACAGAATTTTCCTAACAGTTAGCAAATATTTACAAATTCTATGGTAATACCACTGTTAAACTCTGTCTCAGACTCCAAGATCAAGGCAAACCTAAAAATCCAAACTATGTCGCTGAACTATTCATGAAGTGCGCATTCATTTAAAATGACTGCAGAGCCTCATTCCCAACACTTTGCAAATTAGTTCTCCCTGTTTTGGATTCTAGTCTTTTCTTAAATTTTCTTCCAACTAAATATTGGGGGAAACCAGAAATCGAAGCAGATGACAGTAGGGTACTCAACGTGCCTGTAAAATTACAATAGTGTTGGTGACAGTGTCGATTCAGCAACAACCATGAAATGTAAACAAGTTGCAATTGCTGCCGCCATGGGAGGTGGTTTTCTCGCTGTGGGTGGGTTGTGTGCACAGCATGTGGCTTTCCAATAACTGCCCTTTATAACTCCACTCAGGAAATGGTTGGTGGCCCCAAGTGAAAGTCACTTATATCAAAAGGAATATTAATTCTTTGCAAACAATTAAATGACAAAAGTCAAGTATTTAAATAAGTATACTAACTGACTGCAAGCATAGTTGGATATGGAACATTTTTAACAACCACATATTGAGATACCACAATCACAGCACTTACCTTGTGAAACAGAAGTATTTACGACTTTAGAAAAGTCAGGAAGGACACTGGGGAATGGAATGCTAATAGTACTTCCACTGTGGGGACTGGAAAAACCACTTGAAGCTGGTGAGATGGAGGTAAACGAATGATCTCCCTCAGAAATCCGTTTCTTCTCTGGTAATGGAGGATGCACATTCAGACTCAAAACATCATTCATCAGTGTCGCACTGCTTTGTGCTTGGCCACTAACTGCTGTAAGCACTCCCTCTTGCAGACTACTATTACCCAAGAAACCAGTCGCTGGGGAATTCATGTTTGAAGCAGGGTTGTTTGATCCTGTAGAAAGACTGGATAGCATGGCTTGTTCTCCATCATACTGAGGTCCACTGTCGACATTGTAGTGCAAGTAACCCTGGTTACTGGAATCTGCAGGCAAAGGATGCTTTGCAGGGCTTCCTCCAGCACTGTTCTGTTGTAGGTTTGAAGTTTGCCGCTCAGAACTACTCATGTGAACAGTGTGGTTGATGGGAGAGATAACTTGCGTTCCTGAAGAAGGAAACTGCGACAGGATAGAGGCCTCTTTTGGTGGTTTTCTGGAGTTAACACCAAGCTCTGAGGAACCAAGACAGCTTCCTGTTGATCTGCTGACCCCACTTACTGGTGGCACTCCTTTCTGGGCACTGTCCAACCAGGCAGGTGGGCTGTCAGGGAGACAAAAAAAAACACATAAATACAAATAATGTAGTTATTAGTGCATAAACCCAGTATGAGATTTCCCTCATCCTCATCTCTTTAAATTTGGATGAATTGGCTCATATTTTTTCTCATTGTTTTTCTGAGCATCCAATTTTGCTTTTGATTGTTAAAACCTATCATTAAAATCATGCAAAAAAATTAATCTGTCCAGTGCTTTAGCCATTAGGTGTACATTTTTTTGTTTACAAGGCCATTCAAGCCACTTGACCTGCAAGGAAAACCCAATATCACATTCACAATGGAATTACAGATGATTCTCAACCTCAAGTGTACAGCATAACCTAAGCAGATCATGAACAAATTTGATGTTCTTAAAAAGTATACAGCAGACAAGTGTTATCCAGTTTTGCTGTAGTATAAAATATTGCAACTCAGGATCTGGAATTACTAATGCTCAGCTCAATCTTAAGTTGCAATTATGGTGAACATTGACCACAGGAGTATCAATGCAAACAGTACAAACGAATCTACTTGTAGGACTTTGGCTACTACATACTCTAGCACCAAAAGGAATGAAATTAATACTTAAAAATTAATCTTCAGTCTTTTTCGGTGAGGGACAGTTTGCTTCATTTTTCTCTCAGAAGTCTTTCTTTTCCTCATGTGAATCCAGTCCAAGATGATATAGAATGCTGCAGCTCAAATGAAAGTCCTTGCCCATGGTTTGCTGCAGCCTTCAATAACCAAGTCTCAAGCAACCTTTACTTTTGAGATTTCTAGCATCCTGCTGTGCTCACCAGCCTCCAATGTATATCTCTTTTTCAGTGATCAACCAGTCCTTCTTTTTCATGACCTTGCCTCAAAATATTTACAATATGTTTGTAAGTTGTTTTCAATTCTGCTAACACTGACAAGATTCTTGGGCTAAAACAGTGGCCTCAATAGCAAGCATAATCAATTGAAATAAAGAAGAAAGCTTACATGCTGGATCACAGAGAGGATGGGAATAGATTTAAGACACACAGAAAGAGACAGAGAGAGAGATAAAGAGATTAAATAGGACTGAACTTTTTTTGGTCCAAATGAAATGCATTTAAGTAGAGGTTCTCAATCCTGTAATTTTTTTTTTGTGGGCATTTTTTTCCCCCTCTTGTTTGATGGGTGGCATGTGTTTTATTTTTGCAAACGTTCTGAATGTTTATTTTGGAGTGCGGCAAGGAAACACCATCTATCCGTTTTTCTGTTGCCCTGTGGGAAACAGTGGAATTATTTACCACGCATTTTAAGAGCTTCACTGGAATATACAAGAAAACCCTCCTGCTTCCTGTGGGGAAAATGTGATTTGGGTTTGATTGGGAAGAAGGGTTTATGCACCGTACTTGCCTTGTGATGTAAATTGCTCTGGGGGAGGTCCATGGCTCTTGTAGAACACGGAATATATAGGGAGTGAAATTCTATAAAGGCCTTTCTGCTCTAACTTTGTTAGAAGAGCCCGGTATACCGCCAGGAACACGGTATTAGGTTTTTATGTCGTTCTGGGATTTGCGTGGTTTTTTCATCAAAGTTATGATGGACAAGAAGACCCTCAGAAAATTCACCCCTACCACGTCAATATTTTATTCACAAAGTACTTTATCAAAAGAAAAAAGGACAACAGAAATTCTTCAAAAAGCAAAGATAAAACGTAAAGAAAAAGAGGCGCAGAGTGGAAATGTGTGGTAGCAAGAAGGTGCAAAATGAAATGACGCAAACAGTCTCAAACTAGTCATTCAGCCAGTTTGCTGTTCGTGCAAAAAGATCTCAATTCAGTACCAGGGATATTACATGATACAGATATCCTAGTGACAACACTGCAGGAGCTCTTGAGCATTGCATGAGAGTGATCTCATCTTGGCAGCGAAGCCTTGGTTTTCTAATCAGGATTATCAAAGACATGAGCTCAAAATTGTCTGACCCCATTTGGAAAAGTGAACAGACATCTGTACGTCTGGATTTCTGCCCACTATTTTTCACAAATGCTTTCTGTAGGCTAGGAATGATGTTGTTGGATCGGTCTCCAACAAGTGAGAGCTTTACTTGAATATTAAGTTCAGGCACAGCATCTGGGATACCATTTCCTAAGTTTAATTCCTAAATCCAGCAAATTTTATGATTGCCAGGTAACGGTAATTATATGAGGAGTCATGGAAAGGACACGGTCATACTGAAGCAGTATCTTAACATATCAGGCATGTCTGAGCTTTTGCATTTCTTTCCAGGTTCCTATGGAAACTGAGTATCAATGAACTCCGCAAAATATTACTCCTTTTCAGGACAAACTGACATAACAATGAAAGGTTATGATGCTTAAGTGGTATGATGACACTGGTGATTAATTCTAGGTCTATAACACTGAAGTGTAAACGTTGATTCCTCTAATTAAGCCTACACACACACACACACACACACACACACACACACACACATTCCCGAATGGCATTGTGTGTCTACCTGCAACAGGTGGACTGTAGCATCTCAAGGAGGCAGCTCATCACCACCTTCTCAAGGGCAACTAGGGATGGGCAATAAATGCTGACCTAGCCAGCGATGTCCACATCCCACAAGTGAATAACAAAAACCAAACACGCATGTTAACATATCAGCTAAAGGATAAAAAGGGATTACTCTGTAGAGGCTCACTTCCTAAAAAACACTTTTTCTACTAGATCTTAGTCTTTGAAGGGGAAAATGACCAGGAGTGAAATATTCTTATCATCCTCCAGTCCAGTAGTCTAGTACTTGTGGAATGGTCATTAAATATGCACAGGTTTTCTCTGATATGTTGGCAGACACAATTGCTCAAGAAATATAACACTGAGAAGTTCCTTCAATCACTCTTTCAGGACTCCAACAAGTGTTTTCTCAGAAACAAGAGAGAGATCATCTGAGCAGATCTTTCCTCACAAGCTCATTCCCCACTGAAGGCCAGAACAAACCCCAAGCTAAACAACCTCAGAAGGACTCCAATAAAACACGCAGTTATCACAAGTCACATGATTTCTAGGAAGCCTTGTTTAAAAAAAAGACTCCAATGTTCACAGTAGACCTTCAAATGATTTATTTTAAAGAAACTAATCAGGTATCTCCACAAAGCTTGAAATAAATCCACAAAACTTTAAAACTGGAATAAAATAATAAATATGAAGCATCTTCACTACAGCAGTTAAACACAGAAATTGCTTTCCCATGAACCCTGTTCCTCCATAAGCTTCCATGCACTGGTAAAATCACTGTCTCATCATTAAAAAGTATGCAGGTAACTCATGTTTTGGAACTAATCCACAAAACACTCCAGAAAAAGTTAGGGCAGACAGATTCAAGAATAAATTCTATTTTAATGATATAGATCTTAATGGCTTAGAGCAACCGCTGTGGTATTAAAAGTTTAAATTTGCAAAGTTGCTGCAGGGGTTGGGGTTGGGGTTTGGGGTGGGGGGGTGGGGGCGGTTGCGGGGTGGTGGGGAGTGTGATGGGTACAGGCGTTCAAAATTAGTGATGCTATTCCTTCAAAGTATAATGACTTGAAGATCACCTTTTATTAAAATAACATTGTCTTTGTATTTTGCATCTTGCTCTCTTATAAATACATTTTTTCATTTTCTTCAGTTCACATTCTCTATAAGATTTCAATGTGAATTAAATGTTTCAGGTGAAACGTCCTTAGGCATTGTTTGCTTCAGTGGGGCATTTGCTAATCATGAGCGGTTGAAAGTTTGCTCCATTCACACATATCACAGATATCACAGATACCCCTTCAGCCCCTGTAGAAGACACCAGGCAGTAAATGTTCTTCAGGACCAGTAATGTACCAGACACAAGAAACCTGCCTGCATAAAAATTTTACCAATGCATGGAAGCTTATGGAGGAATAGGGCTCATGGAAAAGCAATATCTGTGTTTAACTGCTGTAGTGAAGATGCTTAATATTTATTATTTAATTTGAGGACTTCAGTTCTGAAGTATTGTGGAATAATGGACTTATTTCAAGTTTTGTGGAGATACCTGACTAATTTCTTTAACTCATGTGATTATATGGAATACTGGTATGATATTATGGATGACAATGTTGCTGACAAAGTCTATTGTCCACTTGCCCTGGAGAAATTTGTGGTGAAGAGCCCTGCAGAACTACTTCTGTTTGTGTACGTCCACATTTCTAACCTTGAAGAAAAATGACTGCACTCCTTCATAGCTCGCTGCAAAATCTGAGCCAAGGTGCTAAAGCATTGGACAGGATGTAGATTATTTTTATTTATTCATGGAATCTGTACCACTGGAAAAGCCAGCGATTTGTAGCTTGCGAGGTTATTTCAGGGGCAGGTAAGAGTCAACATCATTGTTGTGCATCTGAAGTCACATACAGGTCAGTCTGGGTAAAGATGGAAGATGGAAGATTTTACTCCCTAAAGCAGATTAGTCACCAAACGGGTTTTAACCACAATTTCTTGTTCACCATTTCTGAAACCAGCTTTGTCATTGCAGACTTATTTATTCTAGTACATTTAAATTCTCCAGTTGCTCTGACAGATTCGAACTTGTGTCATCCCACTACTTATTTAAGACTCTGATTTAATAGCACTGTATTATAACCATTACACTACCATCCCTGATTTGCTACAAAAGTACTGGAGATGCAGGACTTTGGTTATGTAAAGAGAACGGGAGCTGGGACTTTTCTTTTATTCATTCACAGGATGTGAGGACCATGGCAACACCAGACTTTGTTGACTATCCCTAACTACCCTCAAGGAAGTGGTGTTGAGGCCCTTTTCGAACTGCTGCAGTCAAAGGGGGTGGGTACACCTACAGCATTGTTAGAGAGTTTCAGGATTTGACTTAGCAACAGTCACTAAATGACAACAAGGTTCCAAGTCAGAATGGAATGTGTCTTGGACAATGTTGGTGTTCTTATGCACCTCCTTCTGGGTGGTCATGGGCTAGCCAGGTGCCGGAGGAGTTTTGGTGAGTTGCTGCAGTGCAATACTGTAGATGGTACACACTGCTGCCACTCTGTTGCACCTTGTAGATGGTGAACTGTCTTTGAGGACTTGGTTGAGTTTCTCACTGCAGACTTCCCAGCTTGTGACCTGGTCTTGTAGCCAACATTGTTCTGCTTAAAGCAGTGAAGGTAGGAAGAAGTTGAGAGGGGAAATAGGTAGAGGGGTTCAAAATAAGTGGTTTTGACTGTGTAAATAAAATAAATTATCTCCTTAGCAATGTAATAATTAAAAGTGACCAGCAAAAGAACCAGATGCGATATGAGGAAGTCTTCTTTTAAACAATACATTGTTGTGGATGTTATCTGATAGGATTGTGGCAGAAACTTCCAAAAAGAACTGGTAAAATACTTGAAGGGGAAATAGTTTTCTGGAATACGTGGAATGGGTCAAATCAGATTGAATTCTGAACGAGGATCATTGGACACAAACTTTAACCCTGGGTGGAACCTCGTTGGGGTCTCTGTGATGTGGGCAACGGTGAGATTTCTGCAGAATTGGACGCAACATCCACATGAGGCCTATTTCAACATCAGGAGCACCTCCCTCCATCTTGAATGCATCTGCCGAACATTGAGGTGAATTTCTCAACACTGTGGAGCCGGGGGAGCCCAGCAGGCCAGGCAGCAATCAGAGGGGCTGGAGAGTCGATATTTCAGGTTGGGACCCTTCATCAGGACGGTCCTGATGAAGTCCATCAAGCCCTGATGAAGGGTCCTGACCCGAAACGTCGACTCTCCTGCTCCTCTGATGCTGCCTGGCCTGCTGTGTTCCTCCAGCTCCACATTGTGTTGACTCTGACTCCAGCATCAGCAGTTCTCACTTATCTCCGAGGTGAGTTTCCCGCTAGGCAGGGGCCTGTTGTCAAGTAAGGGGGATTATGGCTGCTTCATGCCTTATTAACTACCTCATTCATGTTCAGCCTCCTATTTTTCAGATGCACTGTGATGTGGAGGTGTCGGTATTGGATAGTCACCTTTACCTGACGAAGGGGCAGTGTTCCAAAAGCATGTGATTTCAAATAAACCTGTTGGACTATAGTCCTGAGGAAGGGTCCACCGGACCCAAAACACTAACTGTGATTTTCTCTTCACAGATGCTGCCAGACCTGCTGAGCTTTTCCACCAACTTCTGTTTTTGTTTCTATAGCCTGATACCGTGTGATTTCTGACCGAATAAGCTAGATGTCAAGAAAACTCACATGGAAATCAAAGCAGGTTCCTGGTGACTTTGTTTACAAGGACCCTCCATGTTGCTCCACCAGCTGCAGGCACAACTTGTCCACTGACATTGGCATCGATGTTTGCCAATCCCTTAAGACCACCACAGCAGCTCTCTGATATACTTTTATTGGAGAATATCACTGCCATGTACATATGACCATGAACTCTAGTGAATGCAATGGAAAGGGAAATAGTTGGGGTGGGTTGAGGGTCAAAGCACGACAGACATGCCTGTTTGGTTGTAATGTGTTGGTTCCTCAGTCAGTGCAGCGCCTTCACCAAGCTGTTGCATGTGCTTTGACCAGGGCCATGGTGGAACAGATGATAGGGGTTGATGAACGTGCTGCTCTGTAGATTGAAGCAGTCTGAGTTGACCCTCCAGAATAGTTCTGACAGAACTATGTCACATCATATTGGCATACTGTGTCCTGAACATCTGCAGCAGGCAATGAGGCGAAATGACAGGCGCTGACGAGCCAGGGAACGACAGCAGTCTTCTGAGGAGAAGGATAAAGACATGGAGCTGGAGGAAGCTCTCCTTGCGGATGACAGAGCTCAGCTGCATTGGGCAGGCCAAGAAATGATCGACACTCGGTTCCAGTCAATGGCAGCAAGGTACAAAAGACCATCGTGGACTATCAAGGTTAACATGTCAGCATTTGGTTCATATTTGTTGTTATGAACTGCAGTCTGTATTTGTTTCTTTTGTGTTCTCTTTTTGCTGGCTGCCAATAACAGCTCATATTTGGCTTTGGGGAAACAATGGTGGGGGCTCGGAGAGGGTGTTCAGATGGGATGTAGCTAAGCAAAGTGTGTGGCCTGGTGGCTACATGTTGACCAGGGTAAGAGAGCAGGGTAGTTATATGTGAGTGAGTGTCAGCAGTGTGGCATAAGTAGCGTGGCTGCATGGTGGCTATGCCAGGATGTAGGCAGTGAGGGTCAATGCTGGATTGCCAGCGCCTGAGTGCACAGCAGCCTTGGAAATTTGGAACATGGCAAGGCATGCCAGACTTTCAGTGGCTTTCCATGGAGTGATGAGCTGTTCTGGGAGCAGCCCATGGTGAGATCAGGATAGAACTAGGCATTAGAGACCCCATGAGGAAGGACAGGTAATTTATGAGGTATATTTGGTAAGATATGAGCAGAAATCTCACTAGATGTCGTGGTGAGAATTCCTCTAAATAAACTCAATGCAATTTGCGTTTAACCAAAAAGATATTACATTCAGCTTCTGTTTCTCTCACCACAATGCAGAGGTTTCCAGCATACTGTTTTTATTCTAGCATTTAGGGTATTTTGTTTTCATCATTATAGAAAAAACAAATTGGGAATCCGTTTCAAAAAAAACTAGAACAGGCATAATGGGCCTAATGAACTATTTCTGTGCTCTTTCGGTCTATGAAACAGACAAGTATGATCAGTTATTAAAACAGGAGATATTCTGTTTCAATGTTTATTATCAACAAATATAGACTGCAACTGCCTTTAATTAATTTGGCCTTTGTTCTTAAATCCATTTTCTGAGGACTAGATGTCAAACCTGAACTCTCAGTTTTAAGTGGAAATTCTACACATCTGTGGCGTGTCTATGGTAAATTAATTTAACAGCATAATCAGAGAAATCCAGCTTGGAGGTGTTGAGGACTACATTTCAAATAAAAGATCACTATGTAAAGTCCTTTAGCCTGAAACCTTCTACAATGAGGTCTAACATAAATTTCAAAAATATCCATGAGAACCAAGGTGGAGGTTCATCATAAATCCTAGCATTTTATAATGTGGTAGGTGAAAGGGCTTACTTAAGACTATGCACAATCAAAACATTATAATCACATTTTTACCTACACACAAAGCAAAGTCTCCTATCAGTTAATTGAGTTAGCAACTTATGAGGAGTGTGGCATGCAGAAGAAAACCCAATCAATCTAAATTCAGCAGATTTTAAATTAATTTTATATTGGTATCAGAATAATTTATCAACCCAACCAACTTGCTTTTGGAAACATAAGTTCACATTCTCATCAGATTATTCCGACAAAATACGCAACCCTCTTGCTACAGATTGTCCAATAATGTCTCAACAGTATTAACACAGGCTTGGTCCAGATGCTCGAACAATCTATTAAATCTTCCTCATTGTTTCAGGTAACATAGAATCATAGTTACAGCCAAACACCACTCTGTACTAATGTTCTAGAACCAAGCCTAATAGCATAAATGGTTTACAACTCTGTTTCAGTAAAACTTTCACATTTGAAATGCAGTATTAGCTTTAAACAAAAAGTGGATCTAAGAAGCAATCTGTTTGGTGTCAAAATGTTTGACTATTTGCAAGGCATAAAAAAAATTCATAAACAAATAGTTATTGTCCTCCTGACTGCCAGGATCTCTGGTTCTGAAGTTTGAAGCAGTAACAGAAATGAAGTTGAAGTATATCTCCCAAGGAAAACCTCATTCATTGAGAAAGCATCAAATTCAAAGTTCATTCTATATCTGAGTATGAACACTGTCAAGAAGAGTCAAGTTAATACTGTATTTTAACAAAGAGCTTTCAACTTGTAAATATGCACAAAAATCTAAATGTAGTTTTAAAGATATCCCACCTGTTTGTCCTGGAGACTTGACTGCTGGTAGAGACTGAGCACGCTGCACCATAAGATCGCTGGAAAGATGAATTAGTCATTGGGCCATCACTGCTGTACAGAATAGGGTTTGTCACCACAGTGCCGTCTGATCCCACCACTGTATGGTTGATGCCTTCCATGTAACTTCGAGATTCTGTGCAGTAAAGACACATTTCGTGTAAGCACATTCAATAACCGTGATCAGCTTTGCTGTCAAGTCCAACAGCGTGTTTCCATCACAAAATGAAGTGAATGACTTCAACACAGGTTCAATGTATTTTAAAGCCTGGTATCTCAAGTTACTTACTATGCAGAAACAGGCAAGTTACAGATCAATCGAAAATACACAAGGGTTCTAATCTGGAAACCAAATAATGCTCACGTGACACGAAGGTGAAGTCTTTCCCCACCAACTCATTGCAGCATGTAACCTACTGTTTAGTTGATCAGCTAAACTTCTATTTCTAAGATGAACAGTTAACAATTTTGTTCATTTAATTTAAAAACCATGCAGAGTATTGTGCCCCAGTCATGTTAAATTGATTTACCAGCTTGTTTGGTACTGAAAACACTTCAAAATTGTTTACTGTGAGACTACAAATTTCTTCAAAGTTTTTAACATACTTTCCAGCTTTCGACTTCCTATCACACAAATGAGAATTCAGAAAGCTCACAGTTCTCTATATTCTTAAAAGTCCAACATTTCAAATTAAAGTTTTAGAAAATTTAACCCTTTTATAAATGTTACAGGTGATGAAGGACTTGTTTCTCATGTTTGACACTGAAAGCCTCATGTAGCACCCAAAGAGTTAACCTATAAATGCAAAGAGTCAGGCAAAATCAGCATTGAAGTAAACTTCAATTCATAACTAAACAGCATTCTTTTAAGCAAAATCTACCAAACATGTTGACGCAAGCACAAAGACAAGATAAAGCTATCTGAAAATCAATGGAACATGAAGACTGCCCACATTCCTTACATAGCAAGGATAGCTTGCAAATAGAGACAATCCTGCAAGAGAGCTTTGGAAGTGGTCCAAACAGGGGCTTGCATATGCTTGTATGGCTATTTCATATCAATAGCTTACCCTTTTATCTACAAAGATTGCAGATGTGTCAGCCCGGCTCCAAAAACATAAAGACATGGGGGGCAATTGCATAGATTATTTGGAACAAATTATGGTAATCAATGATACGTTTTTCCTTATATTTGTGAATTGGGACAAAAAGGGCCCTGTAGTTTTGTTTTGTTTCCCCAGCATATCTGTACTACACATTCCACTTGCACGGAATGTCTTCACATTACCACAAAAATATTCCATGGTGCTGGAAAGTGAACAGGCCTCTTCCTTTCAATACTCCCAGCACCACAGCGGAAGTCCTCACTGAATTCAATCCTTTCATAAATTTAAAAGGGGAGGAAAGAACGTGGCACTTGCAGTTTTATAAAACATACAGATTTCTAAACCTGGCCAAATTTTAAAATAGTTTGAGACCAGTGCTGTTTCAAAATTCAACTCAGTCATTTGGGAGGCAATGGCCTAGTGGTATTATCATTGTACTTTTAATCCAGAGACTCAGATAACGGTCTGGGGACCATGGCAGACGGTGGAATTTGAATTCAATAGAAGATAAATCTGGAATTAAGAGTCTAATGATGACCATGAATCCATTGCTGATTGTTGAAAAAAAAACCCACCTGGTTCACTCATGTCCTTTAGGGAAGGAAACTGCCATCCTTACCTGGTCTGGCCTACATGTGACTCCAGACCCACAGCACTGTAAATGCTGCTTAGCCAGCGGTGCCCTTGTCCCACGAATGAAAAAAAACTCTCAAGCACAACTAGCAGAGTTACAAACACATTTTTATGACAGAACAAGTTGTGCAATGTGTTGGGACTGTGAAATTTGTCTCATTTACGTCTAAGAGTGGTTTTGAAGGAGAAACAACCACACACGTATAATCATTAGGTAAACTTGCGTCTTTTCTTTCTTGGCTGTAGGCATCCCTCTCAGTTGAGGAAATACACTGTTAGCTTTAGCCAAACGTAAGCTGTAGTTTGCCTACAGCTGGCGAAGAAGGCTCTCCAGCACTGCCCGAAACAGCCATTTACAATTAGGTATCGTTGGCATCGCTATTTCCAAAGGGGCTCAGAAAATAACACCCAAGTTGGCACCTTCAACAGATTCTTTTGCCCTCTCTGTGCCATGGAACCACTGCCAACTCAAGGTTTCAGTTTAGTATATCTAGAATTTTGCTCCTTCTGCAGTAATTTTCACACCCATCAGAAGAAAAATTGATTAAGCATTACTGACAGACTTCATGGGTTCAGTATTTTAAAAAGACTTTAAAAACTCAGTGCAGGAAGATTACCAACAACATACTGGTAAACACAGTAAGGGCTGGGTTACCAATAACAACATGTCATTCCCTATACTTGATGCATTACTTACAATATTCAAGTAGCTTGACATTAGACTCAGGAGTTCAGGCTGATGTCAAAGGGAAGTAAAGTAGGACAAGGCTGATCAGGAGAAAATCAGTCTCTGCTTTGCCTTTGATACCTGATTTACTCCACACAAACTGTGTGACAATAAGGAACTAACCCTGGAGTGTGAATTAATCTAAAAAGTTACATAAGGGTAGCACAATAAAGAGCACAACATGATAATTAAAAACATGGAAGGTACAAAAAGGCAATTAACATACACACTTTAAATGTATATGCATTTGCAACAATACTGGGAAGGAATGCTTGTTTAAAAAGATACACCACACAAATGACAGGAATGTGGTCACTCAAGAAGATTAATGACTGCAGTTGGAAAATGTGCAACTTAAGTGTATACACAGCTGCTCCTGTGAATAACTTTTCTTTCAAAAACTCAGCTATTATTTCTTACATGGATCAGTATATATTGAAGACAGCATTAAATAATTAGAATCCAAATGTAAAGGAGCAATTTGACAAACTGCAAACATTTGACTACCTTTTCAAATACATCAAGAATCCCCCAGTGCCTGACTAGTCCAATATTATGATCAAAATGTGAATACTGTAAATCGAGGTCAATCTACTACCGCCATCAAGTCTGGGCAATGAGAAATGGCCTACGAATAGGACCTTGCCAACATCCTTAGAACAAAGAAAAAGGAGATGTGAATGCCTGTGCTGAAGATCATCAACTGCTGAATAACATTTAAGAAAATGATGAGCAGCGTGTGTGATAAGCAATAACGTGATACCAGTCTTAGCAAGTTCAATAACGTATTGTTTTAAAAGTGTGTAAATTGGGAAGGTTCCATGAATAGCACTGCCTCCATTTTGTTCTAGTGCCCACTCAGTCTAGCACAGAAACAAACCACTGCTTTACTTGCTGCTTCTATTCCTTGACCCTCCCAAAACCTCCCGTTCTCCACTTCCCTCCTCTGATCATTTCATTTGCTGCTTCCCCCCACCCCCCTCAATGCTCTGCTCACTATCTCTCTACTTGATAACTCGCTTGCTGCCACACTCTTGAGCTCCCTCGGCTAGTGATCAGGAGAAGGGGGCAATAGGAGGTAGTGACTGGAAAATAAGTGGTGACAGGGAGTAATGAGTTGGAGGGCAAGTGGCAAACAGGAGGTGTGAATGAGGAAAGCAGTGTGCTGGAGGGCCAGGAGAGTGAAGAGGTGAGTCAGAAAGTCAGGGAAGGGTAGTGGTAAATGGGGGGAGGTGGTAAAGGAATGGTGAGCAGGAAGGGTGGGGGTGAGAGTGAGAGTGACAGATGGGAGGGGCAAAAGAGGGAAGGAGAGAGCTGGAGGGTTGGGGAGGGGAGCAGCAAGTACAAGACTCTGGGGAGGGATGCAGTGAACCAGGAGAATCAGATGGGGGGTGGTGGAGGGAGAGTGGCGCAGGGCAGGGGTTGGCACAGGAAAGCAGTGGAATCGAGGGAAGGGAAACAGCAAGCAGAAGGGAAGTGACTGAAGGGGCAGTTGGGGAAAGGGAATATGAATGGGAGGGTCAAGGGAGGGGAGCAGAGAACAAGAGGCTTGAGGGAGGAAAGCGAGGGGGTAAGTCAGAGGAAGGAAGCAGTGAGCAGCAGGGTTCAGGGAGGGAAGTGGAATGCGAAAGGGCCTTGTGGAGAAGGAATGGCAAGAAAGGGAGTAACAGGAAGTGGCTAGCAGGAAGTAGGAAGCGATGTGAATGAGGTCAGTAGAAAGCGTTAGTAAATTGTTACTAGTCGGTGAGATGAGATGGGAATATTTTTGGCCAGTTGAGTTTAAGACAGGCAATACATTTTTAACGTAACGAGTTAAGAGTCAGGAATGTAACCCACTCATTACTTTTCTTATTGCAGTGATTTTTGATTGGCATACTTTTATTAAGGAGCACAGTAGGAATGCATTGAAATATGACTTTAGTGTGAAGGTGATGCCATTCTTCAATCCATTTATATACTAAATTACTGAGCTCAGACTGCAGCACAAGGTCTTCACATGAATTTAATTTTTGAGCAACACAGAGTCCCCTTGAGAATCGACTCAGGGCTGAAAAGTGTTTTGTAGAAGCAATTCAACGTACAAGCTTATCTCCTAATCATGTCACATAGACAGCGTTAGCTTTTCTTGAAATTGCATCAGCTCATAATAAGCTTCGTGTGCACAGGATTTCACTTTTCCTTGCCACCATTCATATCCTGTTTGTGCTCTATCTTGCTGGTTCAGTTTACTGCACTCTAAATTCCAAAACCCTGTTTGCATTGCCAGGGAAGACTTGAAGACCTCCTGCTATTCCCAAGACAGGGATATAGGGATATCAAAGTATTGGCTAGCAACATGAAAGTTGCAGTGTGGACAATGGGGTGAGACTGAAACTATAGAATACTTGGTTTTAAATACAGCTCCTGATGATCTTGGGGATCACCAATGTTTTACCCCCATGGATAGGAATGAAAAAGAACAGAAATAGCTGGAATTATTATTTTCAGGAGGTTAGACAAGAATCTGCAAAGATATGCAAGTCCCTCAGTCACTGTTTCAGGGATATAATGCTTCCACAGGAGTTTTCACAAGAACAACATTGAGAAAATGAATAGAACATGCTACGAGAGGGGAGGACAAAAACACTGGAAAATTATTGAAATTGCCTGTGACGTGCTTCGGTGAGGTCC